CACCAAAACAAATTACATGTTGCACACATGTAGAAATGATGTTGTACTTATATATGAAAAAGTGTTACATTTGTCAGACTGATCAACATACTGATATAAGACTTTACTTATTTATTGTTGTTATATAATTATTTTATTAAATTTACATTTTAAAATGTTAACATTTTATGTAATCATAGAGTCAATTACATTATATTTTGTTGAAACTTACGGAAATGTGCCCTTTATTTTCTTTTGGTGAGTGAAAAGTTCAACGGTGGAGCGCCCATGTGTCGTCCACCAACTCCAATTGCGTCTAATCCTGTGCGGCCAAGATCACTTGGTTCAATCAACCTCGAAGCGATATATAGAACGCGTTTAGAATTCATTCTAAAATAATTTTATTTTTTGTATGAAAATAAAAAATAAAATAGAAATTATTTTTAAAAATGTATTTGGTAGTTTTATTAAAAAATTATTTTCAATATAAAAAGCCTATTAATGTCTCTCTCTCTGCTCGAGAGAGAAAAAAATGAAAACAAAAAATGAAAAACGACTAAAAGTTATTTTTTATTTCTCTCTCATTTTACACTAAACAAAAAAATCATTTTCATTTATGTTTTTTGTCTTTATTGCTTCAAACATTGTTTTAAAAACGTTTTTATTTTTTCTTTCTTGAAAAATGTGAAAAACAAAAACGGGATTAATTCCAAACGCGGCCATAGATTCTATCAAAGAAAGAGGCAATCGGCATGCCTAAAAAAAATTTATGCGAATTGTTTCTCCAATTCACGCTTATATGGTTTTCATACAAGATGATAAATTATTAATACTAAAAGGTGCTTCTAAGAGATTTAAAAGTAATTTAAACACATTTTTAATTTAAATAGTTTCTTATATACTTTTAGATATGCCATGCATACTTCTCTCAAAAGGACGGCCAAGTTCAAATAAAAAAATAAAAGAGAACATAACTTTTATGTTTTTGAAAATGTAAAAGAAAAAATATATATAAAGTTACGGAATTTTATGCGTAAATTTACCAATATTTTCAAGAAATTTTTGTAAATTTTTCACGATATTCAGTCATTTTAAAATAAGGTTTTTCTCATAAATGGAAATTTCTGTGAAAATATTGATATTTACGGAAATTTTCTTGAAAGTTTTAGAATATTCTTCAAAAAAAGATATTACACCTTATTTTCATATCAGTACTTCTAAAATACGAAAATTTCTGCGAAAATATTAGTGAAAATGTCGATTTTTTCATCCTTGGGCATAACACAACCTTTGCCCTAAGCAGTGCTGAACTTTCGGGCGGCGGGCCTGCCCGATGCCCGAAAATTTTTGGGCACGGCGGGCAGGCCCCTCTCGCCATCCGAAAATGCTTTTCTTCAGGCACGGGCTCAGGTAGCCCGAAAGTGTAAGCTCCCCGACAGCCCGCCGCCGTGGAGAAGCCGTCCCCCGCCGTTCGCCGGATTTTTTTTGAATTTTCCGGCAATACCCGAAGCTGCCCGAATTTTTTGTGACTGTTGCCCGAATTTTGCCCCATGCCCGATTTTTTTTTTTACCGTTAGCCCGAAAAATGCCCGAATTTTGAAAAAAAACGGTCTTCTGCCCGAACCCGAATTTTGCCAGAATTTTTGAACCCAACGGTCGGATTTTGTGCCGTTGCCTGAACTGCCCGAACTGCCCGAAAATTTTGTAGCCGTTGGACCCGAATTTTTGGGGGAAAAATTTTTTTTTTTAACCCAAAAATTTTCCTATAAATACCCCCCTCCCCCAACCATTTTCCTCACCCCAAAACTCTCATTCTCTCTCAATTTCTCTTAATCTCTCTCAAATCTCTCTTAATCTCAATTAAATCTCTCTCGAATCTCGATCTCTCTTAAGCTTTCTCAAAGCGCTCTTAATCTCTCTTATTTTTCATAATGGCTTCTTCTGGTTATGGTGGTGATATTCCCGTTGATGCCCAATTCAACATGGAAGAAGGGCAATTTCCTAATATTTTTCAATCGCAGGAATCGCAAACTATGGAAAGAGTTGCTGATCAAACTGTGAATCCGACCCCTGGTGGACGTACTAGAGGTCGGGGATGCAATGGTGGTGGCACAAGTGGCCGGGGAGGAGAGGCAAGCGGTAGTGCTAGTGCAAGTGTTGCAAGTTCTAAGAAGAAATGCAAGCGCACCTCAGTAGTTTGGGAGCACTTCAACACATTCGAGGACGTCGACAATAATGGTAACATTAAATACGTAGCTCAATGTAAATATTGTGGTGAGAATTTACAAGGTAACACTATTCACGGCACTACACACTTAAGAAGACAC